GTCCAGTTTATTTTGTTTTGCCTTTTTTAAAACGTGAGTAGTTGTCCAAAACTCTCAGAGATCTTGGTATAGAGTTCCGATCCTTAATAGAACGAACTGTAAAAGGACAACCACCCTCCGTGGCATAATTATACCTTGGATAAATCAAATTTAAATTACAACATCTTGTATCATAGTAAAGAGCTCGGTTCATAAATAAGGTCTTTGAAACATTATTCCAAGGGTTATATTTTCAATAAACTCTAAAATATACGATAAAAACCCGCGAGTAAGAACCTGTTGGGCTAAAATTTGCCAGTTAAGCTCCTCTAAAAGAAATCCTGATGAGGCTAAAATTTGAAACAGGTTCTTCTTTAGTACAACCTATGCAAAAATTCTGTACACTTGAGCAAGTAAGATAAGTCACCATTCAGGATCCTCTTTGGAGGAATAGGTGCCTTAACACTCCAGCTGCAATGTACTGGTATGCAAGTTTATGTAAGGAATAGGTCAAATACCCCCAAATACTCTTAGCTACAGTACTGTGCAAAAGAAATGCAAGCGATATTTGCCGAAATCCGAAATTGCGCGAATTTCGGCAATCAAATAGGCCATTAGCACGATGACATCATTAATTTTACTACTACGACCAGAATCCGTCAGGGTTTTGCTTTCTTGTGCAAATGAGGGCTTTTATTATTCAAACCTCACTGGGAATACAAAATTTAAATATGAAAGGAAAAACGAAAAGGATTCTGGTCGTAGTAGTAAAATGACGCCATCGTGCAAATGGCCCATTGCGAACTTTGTTTCGTTTTGGACGAAAAAGCGGCGCAATTTCAGTGCTTCTACGTATCTTTTAAGAATAAGACAACCTATTTAAGAACCCAAATTAAGCCTACATTTGTGCTAATGAACCTTTTCACGCTAATTTGGAAAAATGCAGGTTCTGACTCGCGGGTTTTTACTGTAATTGCTTGGTCACTTCCCATGTACTGAGGCCCGAAGTGGCTGACAGGGGAGCGCTCTGTATACATTCTTAAGCGGTTAGTTTAGCCTACATATACTGTACATAACTTACTATATTTCAAGCTACCTTACAAAATCTAACTCTAAACCCCAGAGGGAGTAGCTTATTTCAGGTCAAAATATGTGGACTTTTTTGCCACACTATTTAAGACTAAAATGCTTTTCGTAAAGGACGCATGATAAACGACATATCCAACGGTAGACTCTAGTTTTAAGGAGCACAAAATCGTACCCTCTTTGAGACTAAATGGTAACGTAAAAATCTGTACTCGATTTCGGACCAAAAGAATTCAACATCCATACCCCTTGGCAACCTACATGTGCGTTAATCTCTT